GACCGTGAAAAAAAGGTTTGAGACAGATTAACATATTACAAGAAAACTAGTGGAGGCCAGAACCATGTGATCTGTCAACCTCCAGCATGATGATACTGTAAGTGGCATCAAGGAATGATAAAAGTCTTTTTTAATGAAAGAAGAGTTCAGTCATTCAGGAGGGGCTGAGATTAAATCTACAATCATACCAGACATGTCCTGCTGAGAGGAGGCCCGGAGTAGCTCCAGGACATGCTGGAGAGATTGTATCTATCTGCTAGCCTGGGAATGCCAAGGTGTTCCCCCAGATAAGCTGGAGAAGCAGGGGAGAGCCAGGTATGGGCTGCTCTGCTTAAGCTGCAGCCCTGCGACCCGGCCCTCGATAGTTGGAAGATTAAGTAGTGTAGTTTAAAGCCTATGCTTTTCTATTTAGTATGTTATTTTCTTTAAATGCATTCTATTATAATTAGGAGTGTTTGTGGCTTACTGTAGTTTGGAAAACTCTAAATAATGACTAAAAGCCAATATTAAAAAGAATTACATTTGATATAGTTATTATTGTTATTATTATTAGCAGTATTATAGTCGGCCTATTTCTTTAAAGACCTGTCATTTATTCGTACACATGGCCAGAGAGACTTATATTAGTTCCTAAAGTACGAACAAATTCAGGTAAAATTTTTCTTGATAAATCACAGATTTGTATGAAATACACAATTTACACACAGATGAAAAGAAAACTGCGATGTTGGGAGATAACGCACAGCACCACGTTTGGTGAAAACCAAACAGCTTATCAGAACCAATACAACACACAGCACAATGGTGGAGGTGTGATGACTTAGGCTTCTTTGCAGCCAAAGGACCTGGGTACTTTACAATCACTGAGTCAACCATGAACTGAAGAGTCAAATGTGAGGTCATCTGTGCAGCAGCTAAGGTTTGGTCCCAAGTGAGTCATGCAACAGGACAATGAACGCAAGCACAGCAGCTAATCTGCAACCGAATGGCTGAAAAAGAAAAGAATCAAGGTGTTGCAGTAGCTCAGACAAAGTCCAGACCTCAATGTGATTGAAATGCTGTGTCAGGACCTTGTGGGTGGCTGTAGCTCAGGTGGCAGAGCAGGTCAGCCACTAATCAGAAGGTCGGTGGTTCGATCCCATATCCTTGGGCAAGATACTAACCCCATATTTGCCTACTGGTGGTGGTCAGAGGGCCCGGTGGCGCCTGTGTCCGGCAGCCTCGCCTCTGTCAGCTCTGGCAACAATGTAGCTCACTGAATGTAGTGTAAAGCGCTTTGGGGTCCTTAAGGACTAGAAAAGCGCTATACAAATGCAGGCCATTTACCTTAAGAGAGGTATGCATAAATGAATGCCTGCAAGGGCTGCATGCAGACACAACAACCTTCATCAGGAGTACAGGAAAGCTTTTATTTTGTCCAGCAGCAAAATGCAAGGACAAGAAAGTCACAAATCACTTTAGGTTCACGATAAAACCTGCAAAACGAATGTAGAATATAATATTTACTTAATCAAATCTTATGATTTTTTTGGAGTAGGCTGATATTTTTAACAGCTGGGGCAAACTGAAAATGTTGAGGTGAGAGCGCTGAGATGGGCACGTTATCATTTCTAAGGGAATCCTTTCACACACTCCTCAGTCCAATCCAGCTGTTATTTTGTACATAGGACGAATATTAGACCACCTGTCAGAGCAGGAATTCTTCCCGGTAATTCCAAACATTTTCTCCATTTGCAGAGCACATCGCAGCGGTGAGCGAGCAGGTTTCAACGTGTTGCATCAGGCTGAACTTCACCTGTTGAGAAAGCAGTGACACCAGAAGAAAGTAACCTGCCAAACAAGAAACAAGTCGGTGTGGGTGCTGCAGGTGAAGATAGGCAGCCAGGAGAAAGGTACAGCAGCTCACTGTGAAGCCGTCTCACCCAAGAAAACAACATTTTTTTCTCCAATATAGTTTCCCCAAATCACAAAGGGGATCAGAAGCATCATGAGGTGATTAGAGAGGTAAGAAATAAGCATTATTTGTTTTAGATTTTTCTGCACATAGCTTTGTTTTTACATGAAGTACCGTAACACAAGTCCTTCTCAAGCAGAAGTAACCCCTTCTACACTGCCTCCCCCCAAAACTACAAGTCCCTTCACGTTCCTGCCCCACAGCATCTCTTTGACCTCCTTAATCTCTGCTCCCCCTCCTGAAATCTTCAGTCCTTGTGTGTGTTTTTGTCCTCTCCTGGCTGCAGACTTCAGGGGATCCGATGCTGCAGACCTCTAAAAAAAAAACCTCAAACCCATAATAACTTAAATCATTGCTCAAAACACACATTTTCAGACATTTTTACCCTCTAGCCATTATGTTAGATTACATTAGGGTCAATCCAGCTTAATAAAAATGGTTGGTGGGTAATACTATAAGAGTAAAGCAGTAAATGAACAGGGGGAAAAAGAAAAAATAAGGAAATATTAATTCAACATAAAATCAATTTAATAAAAAAAAAAAATCCCATTGGAATTGTGCCAGGGAGGACATCGGCACAGCTCTTAAACAGTACGAAAAAAACATGTAAAATGCTAGAAAAGTGGACCCACGTGTATAATGAATAGTGTGCAGTGGATGCATCCACTATAAAAATGATAGTGAAAAAACTGCAAATTCATATTTTTATGCATTACCTAATTTTTTGGGGTGAAGCATTACTGGCCATTTTGTTTTATTGCATGGTATTTTTCACTTTCTGTGGCTGCCTAATTAAATCTTATGCTAAAGAACTCAGTCCTATATTTCAGGTTATTTTTAATGAATCCTTGCAAATACAACATGTGCCTTCTCTTTGGGAAGAAACTGTCGTGGTTCCTGTCTCTAAATCTAGTCGTCCAGAAGTTCTAAACAACTTCAGGCCTGTTGCCCTCACCTCAGCTGTGATAAAACGTCTTTGAAAAAACCATCAGAAGTATGATTATGGAAGAGATTGAACAACAGCTGGATTCGCTTTTGACTCTATTAAATCTGATTCTTAAACATGTAGAGAGTAAAGGGACTTTTGCATCGATTTTTCTTCTGCTTTTAAAACAATACAGCCCCATATTTTAATTAAAAGACTTTTAGAACAGCTTGAAATCAGGAAAAACCTGGTGGGCTGAATTTTGATTTTTTAACTGACAGGTCACAAAGAGTGAGAATAAATGGGGTTCTGTGTGACCCAGTGTTCCCCTCCACAGGTTCTCCTCAAGAGTCTTATCACCCTTATTACTCATTCTCTACACAAGCATGTGTCAGAGCAGATATGAAAACAGGGTCATTATTAAATATGCAGATGACTATGTTATTGTTAGCTTACTGAAAGAGGGTGAAACTAGCCACGGTCAACTGATTGATGACTTTGTTCAGTGGTGTGAGGAGTCTTATCTCCAATTGAACATATCTAAAACAAAAGATTTGGTTATTGATTGTAGTAAACAACAAAACGGGCACGGAGTCACTTTTATTAAAGGTCAGAAAATAGAGCAAATGCAATCATAAATATCTTGGGACCATAATCAATGAAAAACTGAACTTGGATGAGAATTACAAATCGGTTTGTAAACAGGGTCATCAGCGCCTTTTCTGCCTCAGGAAACTTGCTCATTTCCTGATTGACCAGAAATTTGTAACTTTGTTTTAGCGTTCTTTTATTGAGTCTGTTTTATCTTTTTGTTTGGCATGGTTCGGTCAGACCTTTGTCACAGAAAAAAACTCACTGAATCAGATAGTGAGATGGTATGACAGGTGAGTCACAGTCCCGTTTAGCCTCCCTGTACTCTAAACAGGTACAACAGATGGCTTTATCAATTCTTAAAAATGGTTCCCATCCTCTACGGGGTGAATTTCAGCTTCTTTCCTTAGGACGGAGGTTTCTAGTTTAAAGATGCAGGACAAAGCATTATAAAAACATAGCAAATTTACCTATGGGTATAAATAAAGTAACATTAACCTTAACCTTTTATACCAGGTATTATAAATCTGTTAAACAAACCCAGGTGATACGATGTAGTATGAGTGTCACTTGCACACAGCAGATAGTGTGACTACACATTCTTGTTATTAGTTTCTGTAATTGTGATGCCTTTATTGTTGTGAGTATTTTTCACAGACAGGCACAAATGACATTTTAAAGCCAAGACTGCTTCTATAAACATCATAGCAAAAATGCACCAATTTTGATGTCTATGATGTAGAGCTACAGAAAGAACCATCTTTGCCTTATGTTGATTCTTCCTTTTTATTCGCACTTTGAAACCAGGCTCATCTTCTACATGTGATTCCTTCTGTGTTAAAACACTTTTATAACAGAGATTGTATCCCATGTTTCCTCCTGTGTATATAGAAATATGCATTTTATTAAAATTCATATACTAAAATTCTTACTTATTAAGTTTCCTCCTGTATTGTATCACCTTTTTACAGTATTTAACTGCATTTTATTTTGACCTTTAATTATTAATATAAATTGTTCAATTTATTTCAGCTCACTGTTTTATATTAGGCTATTATATTGCACTTTATTGATTCTTTATTGGACTTTTTCCTCTTTAGTTGAGCTCTAGTCTTTTGGATAATATTTAACTTTAGTCATAATTTTTTTTAGCTTGTCTACTGGAAATAATTAAACTATTTTCTTTAATTTCCCCCTTCTGTAATACAGGAATTTACCCACTTCTGAGTTAAATAAATAAGATTTTATTTTAAATTCATCCAGCCAGCGTAATCTTAAAACACTGTAAATAACTGCACGGGTTAAAGCGGGCTCCCGAGGCAGCTCTGAACTGAAGCTCATTTTCTACACACCTGTCTCCTATATGTTTTTATGGCAAGCCATTTCGGCGTTTTGAATAATCAAACGGCGTTTTTTTACGCCATTTCTTAACCAGACGTGTTAGAAAACTCGCGATATTTGGCTGAAATGGCTTGCTTCCGCAGCCTCTGCAGTTCGAGAAAGTCAGCGGGAGGGGGGGGAGAGAGAGAGAGATTGAGTTGTGTGTGTGAGAGAACGCCGACGGGAGCGCGCAGCAACGGAGAGAGAAGACCCGTTTGAACGCGAGGAGAGAGAGAGAGAGAGTTTGAGTACGAGTGGGTGTGAGAGAGAGAGATCGAGAGTGAACGGGAGGAGAGAGAGCGACGACCGTGAGGGTCCGGGTGCCTGAGGGACGGACGACACGGTAAATATAAACGTTACATTTTGAACGCACACCGGCACCCATTGCAGCCGTTAAGTTAGCTAATAGTCACCTCCTAAAGTCGTCGCGCGCTCCGGAGCCAAATCGTCGGTTCCGTTTTAGCAGATGATGTGCGCGTGAAGACGGAGCGGTACACGGGGCTAGTGAACTTGGGGACTTCTTTTGTACAGTGGGAGGAAAATCACCGCCACCGGACAGCCGTTATATAACGGATGCTTATTAACCGATGTCCGGCGGAGGGTACAAGCCCTGCTCCCTCCGCCAGGCTTCTGCCCCCCCGCAGCCACCAGCAGGTAACGTTAAACCGGAGCGCACCGTCCTCTTCGTTCACCAGATGCAGACAGACACATCAGCGCGCGGAGCCGGAGTCGAGGCGCGTGAACAAGCAGGCGGGGGCGCGCATGCCGGGGTTAACGGGTGCGTTCGGTCTGAGACGCGCCCCCGTGTGTGTTTTTTACCTGACCCAGTAAAGCTTATCGTCGCTACACACTCAGACACGTGCCTCTCACCAGCTGCCCGCCCCGCAAACACCCCAGCCGGGATTATACACCGGTTATAAGAGGCCGTCCGGTAAAGGCCACGTAAGGTCGCTCACAATATTAATTGTTATATACTGCGCGTTGTCAAGGTAGCAGGAGCAATAACCACACTTCCGGATTGGGCGTTTAAAATAAAAGTCGACACAAAGGCGTTTGTTTAACTACTTAACGGTACTTAATCACAATATGACATTATTATAATCTTTAAAATTTATTTGACGGAATTTATTTTGCTACAAAGATATCTGCAGTATTTTATTATATTTTGAGTATGCTGGTTATATTTGGGCTTGTAAAATGTCAGGAAACTAAGAAAAACACGTTGTCCATAAAATCCCCAAATTATACCGTCTTAAAAAATGTCACAAAAGATTGAAAAACAGAAAATCTTTTATTTTAAATAGTTTGAATGACTGAATTTTACACAATTTTGACATAAAAGAAAACTAAAGGAACAAGAAAGAGGTGATTTAAGTGGCCATTTTTCTAAATAAAGTTCCACATTTAGATAATTTTACAAGTGGGCAATGTTTAGAAATACAATTCCCTTTTGTCACAAGAAAAATAATACATAAATGAGAAAGTAAATATAAATAAATATAAATTAATTTGTTATAAATCTGAAAATCTACTTCTGTTATCTTTGTCTGTCTATCTCTGTTTTCATTAACATCAAAGCATTCCATGGGTGTGTTTTAAATAACATATCCCTTACTGCTTGGATCCAGAAAGGCCTCTTACCCCAATACTTCTGAAAGAATTTAAGATCTGTTTGTTTATATGTTGAATGTGATGGTAATTATTTTAGAAAGTTCATTTCATATCTGTGCAAAATTTGGCTAAAACACTCAACTAGTTAATTATATATAATAATAATAGTTGAGAAATAGAGATTGGGGAATGATATGAATATTAATAATACGTTTAAATGTAATTTCTTTTACAAAATTCTATGCACGATCTAACTGGACATCATTCTCCAACAACATATACATTTGATAATGTAAATATCTCAACCTGACAACTTTAAGAACACACAAGATATTAATAATATGTTTCCCACCTTGTGTTCTTTTAACTATAAACATGGTTGTAGTACCTTATTTTTTGCATATGGTCAAATGTTACACCAGAGGGTGAGGTGTGTTGTGAGTATTTTGTCCTCAGATGACCTGTGTTTTTGCAAAATCTGTGAAAAAGTTCTGTGAGTACAGATAACTTATAAAGTGCTACAGTTTGGGAAATGTGCATAATTGAAAACCTAATTTAGAAAAAATGAATCAGTCAGTGTTTTCATCACTTAAAAGAAAAGTATCATTTTGCCTTGATTTGTAAAACAACAATAACAGGATAAAAACATTTGCAAACAAACAGGGCAATTGATCTTTTTAATAGGATGTAATGCTTTTATTGTGAAAACTAATCACTTATCACTTATGTTCCTGTCTTGTCGCTGCCTTATTCTCATTACCTTAACCTTCCTCTGAAGCTTTTTCTCTGCGCAACCATTTCTCCTCCCACCAATGCAGGCTTCTGCTTGGGCCTTTGACTAGGGGCTAATTTAAACCACTGCTGACATGAAGACTGGAACAATTTAAATCAGTGTATATTGACTTGCTATAGGAGGGTGAGGTGTGTGTGTGACCTAAATACTTAGGACTTGGAAGAGTTAGTTGGCTTGCAGCCTGGAGTTTGTGCAGGGAGCCCCCGGGAATGGCGGGGTGGATACTGTACAACCATTTCTGCAAAGTTTCCACTCCGTGTTTCTGCTGGTAACCCTGGCCTGCCGCCTGTTGTCTTTACAGTAGGTGATGTAAGGCCTGAGCATGAGGAGTGACATACTGTACAATGCATCCTGAGTAAAGCCAGACACACTGGCTGCGCTCGAATCCAGATCACTGCTGAAGTCTACAACACCACATTTTGAAGCTCCTTTTTGGGATGAGTTTCTGACGCCTGTCTGAACAAATCACACTCACAAAAGCACAGAAACAACAGACTTCGCACCTAGCACACTAATCCAGGGGTGTTTATCTGAAACAGAGGCCATCCTGTATGGTGTAATCCCCAAAGATCAGGTTATCCCTTTAGCCACTGATTTAATCTGTGATTGAGGTTTATTAAACCAAGAGTCAGTACTGATTTAATTAGTGTTATATGTGGACGCTCCAAAACCGCAGTTTCAGTCCTTCCCTCCTTTTTTCTTCAGAGGAGATGAAAAACAAACAAAAGAAACCTGGCCACTTTATTATGATTTCCATGTGACTTGTTACCTGAACAATTTTTTAGAAATTAAAGCTTCTACCAAACGAATGTGACTTGGATTTCATTGTGGACATTAACCCTTAGGATCAGGATGTTTTCATAACAAGTAGTCCAAATCACAGACTGACATATTAGCAACCAACCTCGTGATGTGGACGCTTTCGCTCAAATTTGATCTGTTTTCGGTCTCTTCTTCCTGCAACATGATGGCATTCCTCTGCCCATCGGAGACCCTCAACATGAACAGTTTCCCTGTGCTCATGTGTTTATATCAGTCTAGCCATAGCTTTGTGCTTTGTGGGTCAGAGTAGAGATGTAAGAAGTTTAGACTTTGCATGCATATCTGATTTTATTACTCGCCATATATTTGTATTTTATAGCTTATTTAATCTTGTGTGTACCTGCCCGCGGGTAGCTAGATTTGTAACAGGAAAGCTTTTCTCTTGTGAACAGTTCCTGAAAAATAGAGAATAAAACTAAACTGAAGTCACTCATTTAAGCTCGCAACTCCCCAAGAACTGGTCTGTCTGAGGACAGATCTCAAGACTGGTTTATCTCCGGTTTCAAAAGTGAAGCCAGTGTGGAAGTGTTTTAAATTTGCATTCTTTTAATGACCTGGAGCAAAAAGCCACCCAGATGTATTGAAGTCTATGGGAAAAATAACACCACTAAACACTTTCCCCATGAGTTTATGGTCTCCGTTGCTGTTTTTATTTCATATTAAATGAAAACAATTGTTGATTTTGTAAGTTATAGCTGAGTGCACTGAAGGAAAATGAAGCAGTTATTTTTTCTATGACCTGACAAGCATCTGCCTCACAAGCATATGACTCTTTTAAAATATAGTCTGGTTTGACCAATATATGTACACCTAGTTAAAGTTCCTCTTGTAAGGAGAAAGTTTCTGCTCTGAGTTAAGATATAAAAAAGATCTTAAAAATGGTTAATAGAACCATTAGTAGTTAATAGAATGATGAAAAATTCCTCTGCTTTGGAAACACCTGACATAACCCTAAAGCTATTAAAAAAAGCATTGTTAGAGTACTTTTGCATTAAGAGGTCATAACACTGAATAACGGTCACCATTTGAGCATAGATTTTTGCATTTCTTACATAACTTGTGTTAGTCTTAGTATACTTAACAATATTGCCATAAAAACAAGATTAGCAAGCAGATGCTAGGACATATTCTGACATATGATGGGAAGAGTCAGTCCTAATAAGGCTCTCTTTCAGTGTTTAAGTGTCTGTCACAGGCATGTCTGGTTTGGTTTTAAGGCATTTCATGTTAGGGCAGGGTAAAACCAGAGTCTTTCCACAAGCAAATCTTGCCACTCAGCAACCATGAAGTGCCTCCAAATACTAGATTAGTTATTTAAACCAGGACTGGCAAAGATGCATCCAAGTCAATAGTTCTTCATTTTTGTGATAACATGCATTTCCATTCCCGATGTTGGGTTTATTAGAAAAGGGTGAAAATAGATAGAAATGAATGCCATTTCTTGATCTAGAGGTTTTAAGTAAGTTTCAATAATAAAGATATTTTTACACAGTTCTTATCTAAACCAGGTTTAAACACACACAAACTCTAACCCTTATAATAATTCAGACAGCCTGCATTTTAAATTAAAATTGGCCATGTAAGACTCAAGTGCAACCCCAAGATATAATAGGAAAAAAAATCAGAATAAATTAAAAATAAACTAAACATTTGAAAGTTATGAGAATAAAATGGGGGATATCTAAAACTGTCAGAGTTAAAAGAAAATCTGTAAGATTATTTCTAAATAAGTGATAAAATAGACAGCAATTTAAAAGTAGACGTAACAAGCAGGACCCCTCTTTTAGTGAAAGGTGCAAACCGTCAGCACATTTTTTCCTAAAGATCAAAGGCTGTGCACTAAGGACAACAGTTATGGGACGTGATGGAGTGATGAAAGGCTTTAAAGGAAATAAATCAAACCTAAAACAAACAAGCAGCCAGGGCAGAGTAATTTGAACTGGTGTAGGATGTTCACTCTTTTCTGCTGCACTTTGAACCATTGCAATAAGCTTACTTAGAGGAATACAAGCATGCAGGACTATGCATTTGAAGGTTTCTGTGTTTTTCCACGGTGATCTGTTTGCAAATGGAAAGACCGTAAACTCAATGAATGTGGAAAAGCTGAGATATAATTAGTTTATTTCAAGGTATCTCAAGTTTTGTGTCATCTATTTTGCAAATCAATCAATTAATTTTAGTTTTCTGTTAAAATTTAAGGGATTGGGGTGAAGGGTTTCTTTCAGCTCGGCGTAAGGTTTCAGCTTTTTAAAATCTTGGCAGTGACCTAGGTGAATGTTTTCAAAATACTGCTTTATACTTAAATTATGCAGCGGTTTTATTAGTCCAGGTCAGTTGAGATCAAATTGTGCTGCATGTGGCGTATGTATGATGTATAATGATGTATAATAAACTTTATTTTCAACAATCACTGGGGCACAGAAACTATACTCACCAGTCAAATCTGATAAAAAGAAATCAAACAAACAAAAAAACAAACACAAAGTTTGCTGACTTTGCCCCTAGTTATACTTCACCCTCCATCTTCCTCCCATAGATATCAGTTAGGTATTCTTTGAATGCCGGGACTCTCTCTTATAATGCCTTTGCTGAAACATAGAAGGACTGAAATGTGATCGTAATCAGTGTTTTAATCTCCCAAGAAGAGCTGCATCAATAGAGCTGTAATGCTTTGTTTGCTATCTTAAAATCTGTTTTTTTCCTGTTTGTATCCCTTACATGCAATTTTAAACTGTAAACAGACATGCGCGCAATAGCTTTTTATTCTGCTACAGCGTGTTTTCCAATAATTGTTCGTAAATACCCCTGTAATACACCTAAGTGCCTACAATCTGCCAAAACAGCTGGTGAAAAAACCTTTAAGCTCACATTTCAAGCCATATGTTTATTAAAAAAAACAGGATTTTATCTTCAAAACATCTTCTGCGGTTATAAAACTGTCCCTGTGCTCACTTTGCTTTGTTCCTGCTCCTTGGTTTCGTCATTAATTACCTTCCATATAACAAAAAATGTTAATGACAGCGATGAGATGAGAGGGTGATGAAACGAGAGCCAATATGAGTTCGAGCACTTACAAGGTCACACATGGTTGCCTCTCCACTGAACACCTTTCTCACTGCTGCCTTCCACTCAACCATTCGAGCTCAACAATGAGACACAATGTCCTAGAAAAGGGTTAATTGTTTATCAGATAAAAGTCAACATTGAATGCTTCCCATATATGATAGTCTGCTTTATGTCATTGTAATATGAGTATCTGTGGGTTTTAAACTGTTAGACAAAGCAAAAAAAATGTAAGATCAAATAAAACTTGTTATGGATATTTATGGAAAATGTTTCTTACTTGTTTGTTGTTTTATATTTTCTTCAATTATAACCCCCCCAAAAATATTATATAAACAATTATTGTCAAACATGCCTCAAAAATGCAGAAAATGTAGGACATATAGGAAAAAGAACCAAAACAAAATAAAATGTGATACATCACTGAAAAAGACTTCTGTATTGATAGTTGTTGGATACAGTGCGATTGGTACCACAAGTACACAGATCTTTGTCATGCTTGTGGTCAGGATTTTGATTTGGCCTTATCTGCAGTCTGAATGCAGCCACTTTGTCTAATAAAATGGGACAGTTTCATCAGGTTGCATCAATCACTGTGTGAGAGCAGTGATGACAGCTACCCTGATTCCAGCAGACTTCTCTGAAGACACCTGCATGTCTGTTAATATGTCAGTGCTTAGAAGCTGCTTTTCTGCTTCCACCTGCCAAGCACAGTTCACAGAGCCATACCTGTAGTTTACCTGTAATGTGTGTGCAGCTGAGAAAGTAAGAAAACAGTAAAAGAAAGATGTCAGTAACATGCTGAGCATGATTCCTTACTCAGACCTGACAAATATGCTCCAGCTGTACATGTACTTATGTGAGTGTTTGTGTGTGTTTTGTCTTTCTTCCCGCAGGAGAGGGGGAGGTCTGAGGGAGTGCGTTATCGTCTGACAGACCGAGACAGGTTGAATGAAGCTGCACCTGGTGCTTCTGAGGGCATTTCCCATGTTTTGATTTGCTCTGTTTTTTTAACTTTCTAAACTTGGTTTCACCGAGCTGTTCCCTGCCATGCCGTCCAACAGTCCTGCTACTGGTGAACCACCCCAGACGCCAGAGAACGACACTTCTAACGATGTGGTGAGCAGGAGCTACAATATAACTAATAACTAATAATACTGTATTTACTGAAACAGTCTAACTGAATCAGAGTAGCAGTTATGTCTGTCACAGTGTGAAATTTTCACTATGAGATTATTGTAGTCAGAAGAATTCACAATAAAAATATTATCACAATAAGAGCTACAAAAGCTAGAATGTTAAAAATTGTAGCTAAATAGATTGACTGAAAAGATCTAAGCCTATTGCTAACTCAAATTTGTACAAATATGCATGTGTAGAAGCTTTTATTTTTAAAATCTGATACCTTAAAGCTTCCTGGAATAACTGGAGCTTGTATTTAGATCATCTGACATGTTTGGGATGAACCTGATCACTTTTAACAACTATCTAAGGCATTTAAAGTTGAAAATCTCAAAGAAAAAGCATCATGATGACTTACTAAAAACTGACTACAAACTGGTTAACATAGCTAAGTCTGGGTTTTATTTTGAAAGTCTGACATATTTTTAAAAGCAGTCGTCTCAGTTGTTGACTATAGAGAAATTTACAAAAAGTACAAATACAATACCGGCATATCCTAAAACTTCTGGAAGAGTCCTAGAAGTACAACAAACGTAAAAAAAAATATTACATTTAAAAGTCCAGATGTTAACATTTTATTTAATACAACACACAGTACTGTGTATTTATTAATGTCATGCATTTTATTATCCTAAATTTACCATAAAAATCAGAGAACAAACCAAATACATTTTAAAGCCTTTTTAAAATATATTTTTCATGATTGAATAAAATTCAACAAGTACTTACATTTTTAAATAATTAAATATAAGGAAACTGAGTTATTTGAATTAACTGAGTTATTTAAATTATGAAACATTACATCAGTTTTATACTAATTGTCTTGTATGCAGTGACAACAGTAATTATGTGTTACTGTATAAATGTTACTCTATAACGTACAACATTTACCTCTTAAACAGTCAAGTACCCAAACTCAGCTGTACCCCTTGTACAGTTCAGCTCCTGCTGCTTCTGTCACTTTTATCATCACTGCTTCTATTATTATACATATTGAAGGAGTACTACTACTGTTATTTTTGCTGCCACAGATATTATTACAGCCACCACCTCTTTTACTACAGCTGTCATTACCACCACTACTTTGGCTTCTTAGCTCATGGTTGAGAGCTTTTTTTAGCCAGTACTCACAGAGAAGCTGGCAAGTCTGACTGTGTGTTTGTAATAACTAAACTTGCATTTTTTTTAAATTTACATTCACTACAAGCCTTTCTACTTTCCACACTGTTGTTTGACCACATGTACAGTAAATGAGACGAGTGCAGGGTTTAGACTTTCAAATGGTCTTTCATTTAAAAAAAAAAAAATGTACACAAGTAAGGAGACAGGTGAAAAATGGCTCCATTCATTTGCTCTACTGCAGCCCAGGGTGGCCCTCGTCAATCTGTGAGAAATTTGTAGTTTATTCTATAGTCGTGTTGTTATAAAAAGGCCCACCTCAGTCGCCAGCTTCCCCATTCACATGCTGGCATCAGACCAAAACAAAGTTTTTCTCATAGAGCTGTTCTTTCTAACTTCCTGAGATTTAACTCTCTCATAAAGAGTCGAGCAAAGCCAAGAGAGAAATCAGAGGAAGTCTCAGTTTGAAGACAGAGAGGAAGTGATGGCACATAAAAGAGGTGTGGGAACCTGACTCACGCCAACTGTAATCTATTGAACAAGACAGGAGCCAGAGGTGCCGGGAGAATAGCTCAGAGAGTAGCTAGCAAGTGTTTTCAGAAAATTTGCCCTTTATGCAAACAGATGGCAGTCTGCTAGTGAGCAAAGCATTCACAAGGAGGTTGTTGGTGTGGCACTGTATATAAGTTTGCAATCAGTTTCACTTAGCAACTGCTAAGTGGTTGCCAAATGGTTGGTCACCAGTCTCCTGTCTTGTACTACTGGGGCCTTATCCATTTGACCCTTAAGAGTCACATGTCCAAAATAGTGGACAAGTTAATTTCATGTAATTGGTGGTCACTGCAAAACCTGAAATGCAGCGATTCCCAAAATGTTGACTGTTTGTCTTTTATGTGCCCCCCTAACACAAAATTATATTGTAGCTTTCATAGTAATGATAATACATTTTATTTGATTTCTCTTTTCAAAACACAGAAAACAAGGTCAACTTACATCATGAAATTTACAACTAGAACAACATTAAGAGAGATTAAAATCCTAGAATGATATGAGTGCAAAACATATAAAATTTTAAAAAACTTGATAGTTAAAGTTGATATACTGATGTGAACAGGCAACGTTTCGGGCTACGATTTAACTAGTCTAGCTGCCGGAGTTGAAGTTGAAGATGAAGCACAGCGCAGTTAAATACCTTTAAATCGATTGTTGTTATTAACAGCAGCTATTGCCCTTCAAATATATTTGCATCACATTAGTAAGACGATGCAGCCAAAATGCATATCAAAGTATATTAAACAGTTAAGATAGTAAAAAAATCACATCTGAAGGGCGCCACTGACAAGAGCTACTAACATGCAGAGGATAGAGCAGCAAGATAAAGTAAGAAATGGATGATTTAATTAAATGCACATACAAATCGTGCTAGTTGGGAGTTTATGTAAAGTCGGCTGTGCAAATTCATTCTTGCAAGCTGAACATATGTTTATAGGTTGCATGCCATCCACAATTTTCTGCATGGTAATATACAATCACAGGCTTTCAATACTTCACCAGCAAACCTGTGAGCCCACAGATTTCTTAGGTGCTGCTCCTTTTCCCGAAATCACCAATCAGAGCTAAGGATGAGCTCTGACAAAGTAGATCATCTTTCTTCTCTAATGCCTGTGCCTGTCAGCATTTACAATACTCATATGCTTACAAAGACAGTTTGATGACTGTCAAAAGGTGTGCCCCGGGCGTAACAGCGATATGTAACATCCTAATCATGTGGAAAAAAAAGTTTTATTTCATTTCCACAGCATTTTGTTTAAAAATAAGTTATTTGTGTTTCTGACCAAGTGTGGAGTGTTTATTACCTTCTAAATGTGGGTTTAAACATCCCTCTAGCCACCTACCTGATCTCTCCTGGTGTATGCAGTGAATGCAGAACTAGTAATAACAGTACACAAATTCAGACAGTTTCTCTTTAAAGGTAAAGGTATATACGAGGTGCAATCAAAAAGCTCCTCAACCATACCTATAAAAAGCAAAAGCTATAAAAAGCAAAAACCTTTTAGCTTCAAGGTTATCTCCATGTGGAGCTGCACCACTCCATTCTCCTTCAGAAAGCTAAGTCTTCGATTTCAGGAAGAGGATGAAGCCAAGTCTCACAAGCTGGGCTGGAGTACAGAGTTCCCCACAGATTCTTTTGAGTTTGGGGCCAGCGGTGGGGTTGTTACTTAAAAAAGTAATGCATTGCGCATTGTGCACTACTTAAAAAAAAGGAATGCGGTATTTTACCTATTTACTCCATGGAAAAGGTAAAAACGTGAATTAACAGTGTTGTTTGCACCGCACTGGCGGCACAGAACACTGCTTTTGCCTCCGTGAACACATCGGACTACAAACACGCAAATTACCAACTCCGGAAGACAATTAAAGCAGCCAAATGTGAGTTCAGGGACAGAGCGGGACAACAATTTGACAATCCTCGGAGAATGTGGCAGGTACGAAGCGCTGACCCCCATCGTGAGCAAATGCTTTGAGAGGCTAGTCAGGGACTTCATCTGCTCTGCACTACCCAACTCAGTGGACCCTCTACAATTTGCAAACCGCCACAACAGGTCCACTGATGACGCCATAGCCCTGACACTACATATTGCTCTCTCGCAGGTGGAGAAAAGGGACATGTATGTGAGAATGTTGTTTGTACATTACAGCTCAGCATTCAGTACCATCGTTCCCTTGAAGCTGGAGAGGAAACTGCAAGACCTAGGATTGAGTAGCTCTCTCTGCAGCTGGATTCTTAACTTTCAGTCTGACAGACGCAAAGTGGTCAGACTGGGCAGCATCACCTCATCCCCCGTCATAATGAATACTGGTGCACAACAGGGGTGTGTACTGAGCCCTCTCCTGTACTCACTCTACACCTACGACTGCACGGCCACTAGCAAATCCAACATCATTGTGAAGTTTGCAGACAACACAACAGTGGTGGGTCTTATCACCAAAGGTGATGAAATGGCTTACAGGGAGGAGGTCAGCGCCCTGACACACTGTTGGTGAGAGACCATCTCACTTTCAACGTCACAAAGACAAACGAGTTGATAGTACACTTCCGGAGAAGTAGAGAAGCACACAACAACATTACCATCAACGGCGCTGCTGTGAAGAGAGTGAGCAGCTTCTGTTTCCTAGTTGTACATCTGGCAGAGGATCTCACATGGTCTGTTCACACAAACAAAAAAGTTCACTTCACATATATGCCATTTCTTTTGCTCAATAGTCATGCTGCTGACCTCTGTATATTTTATTTTGTATATATGTAGATACATATATATATAGGGGTGCAACAATACTCGTATCGATATTGAACCGTTCGATACAGTGCTTTCGGTTCGGTACGCATGTGTATCGAACAATACAAAATTTATTTGATCAACTTTTCTTCTGACGATGCTGTCTGTATTGAGTGCTCAGTGGATCTGCGCTCGACAGTGCAGCCTAGGCGGAGTAGTCGAACGCAGATTCACTGAGTGCAGGGCAAGCTAGCAGACAGAAGTTAAGCTCTCGTTGCAACATAGCAAATTGAACCTCCCCCACGCTCATTCAGATCTGGCGTTTGGAACTATTTTGGTTTTCATGTGACGTATGACCCTGAAGGTAAGCGCGTCATGGAC